CTTAAGCTTATCTCCTTCACGTGCATGCCTTGTGTTTGAATCTGCCCGTGTCTGTGTACACTGTGTATGAACTTGGTTCATGCTTGAGTTCTTTTGTCAATCATCAAAACAAACTTACTTAGGCCGACAAAGAAGTAGAAGAAAGAATCAGAATAGAAAAAGCACCATTAATATCAACATAAAATTAAGTTTTAGCACTGTCCATGAAACCAACAAAATGCAGACATATCTCCTGTCATCTTTATCTTCTCCCTTTCTTCCTCTCTTTTCTTGTTCGAATTCCTATGTCCTCTTTTTATCTTCTCTTTCTCTCTTTTTTGTCTCTATGGAAATAATAAAAAGGCGTACAACAATAGCTCTAAAAAGTTTAGTACGGTGCTATGTTTAATTTTAATTTTGATTTCAATTTTATGGAGAGCTAGAGTAAAAGACCAGATATTTTCTCTCAACAAACATCTTCTTTTTTAAAAAATATTCTATAGCAATTTGATTTTATTTGGGTTAAGTTTTCTCAAAACCTCAAGGAGTGGGGGAGAGAGACTCGCAAGGTCCCACTTAAAATAAAGATACACAAGTAATTCATGGAATGTGGAGCTCACAATTACACTAGAGAAAGCAAAAATTTTTATAAGCGGTGTCGATATTTAAAGAAGTTAACAAATAAATAAATCACTATAATAACATCGTATATAAAGAAACACAATTCAAGTACACTATTATGACTGCTCCAGTTATTTCAAATTTAAGGTTTAAAGGTTGTTCAAATAACCCAGTTCTAGAATGATTTTAAATTACTTGTTGTCAATAATTATGTGCTAGCTCAAGTTGTTTAATTTTACCATTTTCGATAACAAGTAAGGTTAAATCCTTGTTCGCTACAATATTTTTCAAGAAGAAAAACCAAACTTATAAAATAAAAGTGTCCTATAGGACTCGATATCATGTCCTCTTTAATAAATTTGAAGCGCTGAATCAGCGAGCCAAAGTCATTTTTTATGTTAAGTGGTGTCATTCCTTGTATATGTATTAATATTTGGATTTATATTATTCACAAATATATATTTAGTAAATTTTTCCGACTAAATGGAATCGGGTGACACCGCATCAGACCACATGCCCCCGCCCCCGAGTTGCAGACCCATTGAATATGTCTGTTGGGAAGAGGAAGATGAAGTGTTAAGAAAAAAGAAAAGAAGTGAGAAAGAGAAAGAGAAAGAGAAAGAGGGAGGAGTATTTTCTTAAGAAACGACATCGGAGGAGAAGAAGTTGAATAAATGGGCCACAAATCACAAATGTCAATAAATAAGAGCCTCACACAAATATTACATGGCATATGAGGCTAAAAGTAAAATTTCTCGTGTCTTTTGAAGGTTGTTCATTTTGCAGGGACAAACACTATATTTCTCCATTCTTAGATAGGCGACATGCGTTTTATTAGTTTTCTTTTTTTACGCGATATATTCAAGAAAAAAAGTTTATGAAAATTAAAAAAAAGAAGAAATCAAATTGTCAATTATTAGATTTTGTACCTTACAAAAATATCATATCCATATAGTTTGTGAATATAACAGATAAGTTACAAAATAAGATTTGGAATTGCCAAATGAACTATTCTTACTATTAGTACACAATTCCTTTGTTCTAATATTAAAAAAAATGCTTCCTATTTTAGCTACGATCACCTACAATATAAGATTTATTAAGGAACTTTGCTGAACATTTATTGAGGCAAACCATTAATTTGATCTAATTTACATTGAGAAAATTACATAGAATGTATTTTTTATTATAAAATAAACGAATGTGCATGCAAAATCTTAAGAGTACTCATCATCTAACATTGCTTTGAAGAACACAATTCACAAATATCAAAAACTTAAACAATGTAATTAAGTTCATAACACAGTTTAAAAGAGGACAACATACATTATAACGTCCTTCATCTTGATTCTTAAATCCAAATTCCCAAAAGAACAAAAAAATCATACTAGCGACGAACTAGGGTCGTGTGCATTCTATAATGGGGCCATCATCTTAGCAGTGATCAACGAATGTTGATTTCATTATTTTTTATTTTTTATTTTTGACTTTATATATTATGACTTTAATGACGTAATCTTATACACATTATGACATTTTCCTAGCATAATTCAAGAAACTTGTGCATCTCTCAAATAAGTCTTATTCTATTTGAATTGCATTTTCAAGAATCATCCCATATTCCATGACTTAAATCAACCACATCCTTTAATTAAAACAAAAAAACTTAACCACATTCAATTCAAAAAATTTGTTCAATATAATTCTCATTTACTTTGTCCACATACAACCATGTGACTTTTTTGAATGCGCTATTTTGCATAATATTCAAGCCTATTATCCTCCCTTTATGATTGGTATAGCTAGGCTATCTTTAAGAATAATAAAGAATCTTAAATTTACCAATAATATTCTTAAGATTTATTTATTTATTTTCTTTTGTTTCCTAAACTAATTCAAAGTTAAATATCATCACTATATACTTCTATTAATTTTTATTATAAATATTTTTAACTTATAGTTTTATTTATTTAGAGTTCAGTTATGTGATCTTATTCACAATATGGCTTTTTTTTTAATATTATAATCAGAACTAAAATGAAATAAATTCTAATGTCAAACTCAAACAGTCTTATCCTTCTATCTTTTTTTTTTTTTTATGATGAAAATTTTGATTTCTTTATTTGTTCTTTATTGTCGTTACTACATTTTCAAGTACTAATTAGTACAATATTATCAAGTGGATTTTTATTAGCTTACCCACTTTTATGCTTAATTTCGAATAGCGGATACATCTATTTTTACTAGTTTTAGTGTACATGTGTTGCACTTATATACGCATCAAGTATATTATATTTTATTATATGCGAGAAAAAAATAGAAAAAATAGCTTGACAAAAGGTTGAAGCATAAAGTCTAATGCAATATGGTGAATGCCATGTTCAACTAAGATTCACAATGAAGAACACCAAAATAAAGATGTAATGATTGAATATTAAAGCAAAATTTAACTACTAATACAAATAACTGAATGCAAAATTTAACTATTAACACAAATACATGAATAGAAAATTTAACACTAATACAAAAATATTTTACTCAAAGAAAGAGAACCTAAAAATCCTTAATTTTGTAGCTGTTGCTCGAACAATAAAGTTTTATTAATAAAAACGTGAAATTGTAGCTTTATGTATATAACAAATTATATAAGGTCAAATTGTGTACGGTTCAAGTAAACAAAAATGTGATAAAAAAATAAAGACTCCCAAACCGAAAAGGAGTTCAAATTTATCTGCATTTAAATTTTCTACTAGGCCGCCTGTTATAAGAGCGCCTTCGTTAAGGCATCTGGAGCGCTGAGGCTAATAATGTGACTATTGTATTTCATAATTGTGTCGAGTAAATTATTGAAAATGGACCTTTCTTTAGCTGAAGAAATTTAATGGGCTATTTTCGGTCGGATAACATTATTATCTTGAAATCGTTAGCCTCCCCTGATACATTATTTTCGAATAGTGAATAGAGTGGTAAGCAACACAACTAAGTTGCATTAATAAAAAGAATTACTATATCGGAATTCGAACGCGTCATATTACACTTAAATTAAATTGTGGTCAAGTTTAAGGTTGTAGACGTTCAAAAACTTTGAGTAAATCTTTTTGTTTACCTTCTAGCCAATAAAAAATGTCTTTAGCGGCAACAAAAAATGCCTTAAGTTTTGGTCGTTGTACATGGGGCCGCTAAGCCATTTACAAAAGTGCCGGTAAATATTGTTTTTATGCTGCTAAAAGTCGCATGCAATAACAACAATTATTTTGCGGCAATCATAATAGCTACTAAATCCATTCCAAAATTGCTTACTTTTCACCTTTAGCATCCATTTTTATTGTCGGAAAATCCATGTATATTGCCGCTAAAAATCAGAAACTTTAATGGCAATTGTCCAGCCGCAACTATAATAGCTGCTAAATCAATCTTGAAAATAACCTAGTTTGCACTTTAATGTCTATTTCTATTGCTAATTATCGGTAAAAGATCACCCTTTTAGCAATATATATATATATTTTTTGAAGGTAATACACAACTATATCTAATGCACAATACACAACTATATATTGTCTCCATTGATATCAAGACATCTGAATTTACCATTGCGTTATTGATTGTAAGGAGATTAAATGAGTTCATTTCCTCAATTTATGTAAGACACCAACACTCTTTGCATATATTAACAAGGTTAGATGTTTGAAGCGTGAACAATATATATAACTATGGAATCAATATTGTTGTAGAAAAGCCAATGTTATATTCTTTCTTCTTCTTCCTCTTTTTTTTTGTTGTACTTTTTCCATGTGCAATTGAAGTACTCGCAACATAACGTACAGTAACAAGGGCACATGAGTAAGGTTCAGTTAATTATGATATTTTGATCCTTGCTCGCTCATTCATGTTTAACAGAATCTTCTCTGTTTGATTTAATTTCCATCATTCAATCTTTGTTGATGATTACTGCGGCTGTGTAAATTAACACATTAAAGCCTCTGCAGTGAAGACGAGAAAAGAACGCTAATCCTAAATCTACACACACACACACACACATATATGTTGTCATCAGACAAAGTGAAGCCTTAATTTGTGCTGCGCCATCTAATTGTGCAAGGACCCCGTATTTAGTCATGACCAGATAATCGCACAAGTATTTCTGCTCCTTTTAATACACGTGAAATGTATGTGACGCATGCAATCAGGCTAGAATATTTTGGTACAGTTGGGGTTGGTGCTTTGGTGAGGCAAAATGAAAATAGGTTGCTTCCTAATATATGGTACATCGTTGTCCTGTACTCCATGATAAGAACTTTCTCGGAAAGTTCACACACAATAACTTGTAAGTTATTATAATTAGTATATCAAAGGATCTCCCTGCTGTTATAAATAAGCTAATCTCCCTATCTAGACTTATCCACAACACATCAAGTAAGAGAATAAGAAAGAAAGAAGAAAGAGAACATCTATATCTATAATAGAAAAGAAAACACAACATAATATTGGAAGAGAAGATGATAGTGGAGATTGAAGAAGTGAGCAGCTGCCAAGCACTACCTCTGCTTTCACTCAACCATGTGTCTTTGTTGGTGAGAGATGTTTGGAATTCTCTGCGCTTCTATGAAGATGTCTTGGGCTTTTGTCTTGTTAAACGACCTTCTTCTTTCAATTTCCATGGTGCCTGGTTAGCCTCTATATACCCTATTTAATTTCTATTTAATTTCACCTAAGATTCACTCCTTTATTACTACGTACTATATTTCATGCACGTATGTCTCGTGTTTTTTATGTACATTATCCTTCTAGGACAATGTAAAAGTTAATCTTGCTATGCACCGCCCATTTCATACCATTATTCTTTTATCATGGGAGAATAAAGCACGTTCATATTACAACAGACAACAACAACAATAATAATTACCTCATTACTACAACAATAAAGTTCTTTAATAAGCATAAATAGTATATTTAGGCACCTCAGCTATTTTGTTTAACGTTTAAAAGGTTGTACAACTATGGAGTTGGGATTCACTTGCTTGAGAACGTAGCTATGGAGGATTACGATGCCATCAATGAACCTCGACCCATTAATCCTAAGGATAACCACATTTCTTTCCAGGTAAATTATACCATGCAAATAGGGTTAAACCTAGTTTATTGGTTATATATAAGTTAGTTGAATTTCCTTGACATGAGAAAAATTCTAGTAAAGTGATAAAAGGGGATTCGAACGAAAATATATTGCTTTAGGTTGCATGTCTAGACGTAACATTTCAAATCCACTTGTATAAAATTTAGACTATGCTACTGAATGGAACTTAATTTGAAGTTCTTGTTTTATTAGTATTAATTCTTAACGCATTATATATGGAACCAAGCAGTGCACTGATGTTGAAGTGGTGAAGAGAAGGTTGGAGGAAATGGGAATGAGATATGTGACTGCAGTGGTAGAGGATAATGGCATAAAGGTAGATCAGGTGTTTTTCCATGACCCAGATGGCTACATGATTGAAATCTGTAACTGTGATAACATTCCACTTTTGCCTATCTCTTCAACTTTCCCACTCAAGCCTCACAATATTGGCACCAGCCATAACAAATTCACACCCACCAATTGTGGCTGTGGTTTCACGGAAACTGCAGAGATGATGGAAAGCTTAAGCAAAGACATGCTCAACTTTTCTTTCTAATTAAGTATTGTATATTTTCAGTTCAGTTCAGTTCTAATGTCGTGTGTTTGTTACTACTTTGAATCTTTCAATTGTTTAATTTGTCGTTGAAACAAATAGTGGAGAACAGTCACGGGTTATCAATTGTTTAATTAAGTGGCTTTTCCACAAGTCGTGTTTACGTTTGTCTGGTTATACAAGTTAAAACTGGAATGGATGTACTTCTATTTTCAAATTTTATTTGTATATATGCAAATTATATATAATAATGACGATATCAATCTAAAGAAAGGATAACAATTTGGCTTAACTTAATTAGATTTTTTTTCTTTTTCAGCTTTGTTTTTCCTTTCCTTTTGCAGTATTTAGATATCTTGTGTTTTGATAATTTTTGTCTTTCAATTTTCTCTGTAATATGCTACTCATGATTTGCATGGAAAAAATAATAGCCTCGCGAGTCCGCATTAAGACATCAACAAAAAGAATGATTATATCAAGGTCTATATTCAGCTAGGTGCATATTTATATTACGTGTTTTCCTATATTTTTCTTTTTGGATACAAAAATCATACTCTTCAACACTCGCGCAAGGAAACTTCCTGTCAGGTGCCAACATAACAAATTTTTCATGACGGTATTTTTCTTACTATAGAAAGTACAACCTTCTAAATTATACCTAAATAATAAAGTAGCGTATATAAATATGCAAAATCGCAAGTAATTTGGAGCAAAAAATGAGAAATCGAAACCCTAATTTCAGAGAAAGAGACGATTTCATATTATTGAAGAATAAGGGAAGGAATAATATGTCTTTCTAGTTGTACACGTGCACTACTTTTTTTCTACTTACAAAATACACTAATATTACAAAATAGACTATGTAAGGAAAATAATGTGGACTCCAGATCCAGATTGGGCCTATAAATATAGGTGTATCTTCCTTTTTTTTAGGAGAAAGATGGTATATTATGTGAAGTGTAAATGTACTTTTCTTAAAGCTTGGTCTATGACCTACAGCTCCCTGTGGTTTAGAATTATAACACTATATACAATTCAACAAAAAGGGGATTAAATAATTCTTTCTCTAGAATTCTCTGTCCGTTCTCTCATAGAATTCTCTAGAAGGACTCCATTGGAGCTCCAGATCGAGCTTCAAGCTAGATTTAACTCCTCTCTCTGGAATACGATTCTCTCTCAGCGACAGCTGAAAATGGCGAAAAAATCGAGCACCGGAGGTGGAGGTCAGAAGATCCACAGAAGTCAGAAAACAAATTCAGTGCGTATGGGAGTGCCACAATCGGGAGATGCGAAGAAAGTGAAAAGTGTCAATGCGATCCAAGGAATCATACCTTTGGATATCAATCAGATTTCAAATCCAACCACACCACAGGGAGGGAACAAGAGGAACGATGAAATTCCAGTGGTGAACATGGCGTCATGGGCAGAGATTATCGAAGAGGAAGCAATGGTGAATAAAAATATAGGTTCGACTAGAACCCTAGAATCAAGTACTAAATCATGGAGCAATGTTGTGGGTTCAATTCCGATAGAGGAAGGTCTAGACCTAATTAAGGAAAATAATGAACTGAATGTGAAAATTACAATGGCGGACATTAAGGATGAGGTGGATTACTGGACAACAGCAGTTGTGTGCTATATTTTAGGGTCTAATCCACCACAAGTAGTAATTGATGGATATTTCAGGAGAATTTGGGGAGTATTGGGGATAGACAAAGTAGCACAACTAAACAGAGGGGTATTCCTGGTGAGATTTCATAGTGTTGAAAGTAGAAGCAAAGCAGTGGAAGAAGGTGTTCAAATGTTTGATAGAAAACTAGTAATTGTGAAGCCATGGAAGGCAGATATGGAGATCACAAAGGAGCAAATGGAGAACATTCCTATTTGGGTGAGATTGATAGGGTTAGATATCAAATATTGGGGACAAGTGGCTCTTACAAAAATAGCTGGGTTGATTGAAAAGCATCTAAAGGCAGATGCTGCTACTACGAAAAAGGAAAGACTAACATATGCAAGAGTGCTAGTTGAAGTGAAATTGAACCAACAATACCCGTCAAGTATTAGATTTGAAAATGAGTTTGGAAAAATAATAGAGCAGACAGTCCATTATGAATGAAAACCTGTTCTGTGTGAGAAATGCAAAAATTATGGACATGACATTTATGAGTGTAGGAAATTTCTACAGAAGGAAAGAGAGAAGAATGAGAAGCAACAAGAACTGAAAGTACATGAGGAGGTAGTTCAACAGAAAGAAGGGAAAGAGATACACAAAGATCAAGCAAAACAAAGGGGAGCAGAGCAGCAACAAAAGAAAAAATAGGGGGACAATAAGCAGCTAAAAATGGGAAGGAATCCAGCTCAAAATCAGAGGTATGAAGTTGGGAAGTATGTGAGGAAAGCAGTGGTGGTGCAAGAAGCATCATTGAAGATAGGTAATGCGTTTGCTACACTAGGAAAGCAGCAAAATGAAGAAGGGGCAAGTACAAGTCAGGCAGGGCAGAAGATGAAAACAATAGAGAATGGTAATGTAGGACAAAAGGGGGTTGTAGTTGACAAGGGTGGGGGGAGCCCACCAACACATGGATAAAATTGGCTTTTGGAATATCATGGGGATAAATAATCCAGATAAACAGAAGGAAATTCATCTGTTTATGCATAATTCTTAGGTTGGATTATTTGGCCTTTTGGAAACTAAGGTTAAGAGAGCTAAGGCTCAGAAAGCTGCTCTTAACCTATGTAATGGATGGTCCTATAGTACGAATCTAAGTCAACATAAAGGAGGAAGATGGCTCTTATGAAAGCCTTTAATATTTGATATAAGCATAAACAAAGTCACAGAACAATTAATACATTGTGGAGTACATCATAGAGGAACAAGAAGGAAATTTTCAGTAACAATGGTTTATGGATTCAATGATGCTGCACTAAGAAGGAAATTATGGGAGGATATCAAGGAAATTCATGAGCATATGGATGAACTTTGGGCAGTCATGGGGGATTTCAACTGTGTCCTACATAAAGAAGAAAGGATTGGGAGTCCAATTACAATGACAGAAATAAGAGAATTCAAGCAATGTGTGAAAGAATGTACATTACAAGATATGAAGTCTTCAGGGGCCTTCTTTACGTGGAACAACAAACAGGGAGGTAATGACAGAGTATATAGTAGGATTAACAGGGTGTTGGTCAATAATGAGTGGATATTGGCTTTACCATATTCAGAGGTATATTATAGGAATGAAGGGACATTGGATCACTGTCCTGCAATAATTAGATGGGCAGTAGATCAAAAGAAGCAACATATGTTCAGATACTTTAACATGTGGAGCATGGCACCAGATTACAAAGAGACAGTAAAGCAAGGCTGGAAGACAAACAAAACTGGGACCAAAATATATGAGTTGGTGGAAAAACTAAACAACCTGAAGGGGAAATTAAGGCAGCTAAACAAAGAGAAGTTCAGTCATATAGAAAAGAAAGCAGATCAAGCACAAGAAATATTAATGCAATGTCAACAAAGAATGCAACAAATACCTCTTAATCAGGAGCTACAAGAGGAAGAAGCAAGGCTAACCAGGAAGACTAAGAGGTTGAATGAAGCAAGACATCAGTATTTAAAACAGAAAAGGAAGGTGCAGTGGCTGGAAAAAGGGGACCTAAACACCAAATTGTTTCATAACATGATGAAGGCTAGAAGGAATATGAACAAAATCTTCTCTATAACAGATGCACAGGGAGTCAATCGAACTGAGGTGGATGCAATTGCAAAGTCCTTTATTGATTTCTACACTACTTGTTAGGCACTACCAACAAGGAAAGGGAGCATGTTAGTAGCATACTGATTCAACAAGGACCAGTAGTTACAGAAATACCAAGGAACATGTTAGAGAAAAAGTTTATAGAAAGAGAGGTTAAAACAGCCTTGTGGGCAATAAATGGAGATAAATCACCAGGTCCAGATGGCTATGGAAGTAAGTTTTTTAAAGATAGCTGGGAGGTGGTAGGCAAAGATGTAGTGGATGCTATAATTAAATTCTTTAGAATTGGGGAGATGTTAAATGTGCTGAACCATACAATGATAACCATCATTCCAAAAGGCTCTCATGCTACAAGTGTGGGAGATTACAGGCCTATTGTAGGGTGCAATACAATATACAAGGTGATATCTAAGATGTTATGTAACAGGCTCAAATTGATACTGCTTACACTGATTTCTGCGAATCAAAGTGCATTCATTGCAGGAAGAACCATAGTTCAGAATGTTCTGATATGCCAAGATTTGGTAAGATTGTACAACAGGAAGAACACTACTCAGAGTTGCTTAATCAAGATTGATCTAAAAAAAGCATATGATAGAGTAGAATAGTCGTTTGTGGAAGAAATGCTCCATGCAATGAATTTCCCTCAGGGATTCATTAAATGGATCATGGCATATATAACTACTACTCAGTATAGTATTGCTATAAATGGAGGACTGCATGGGAGTATAACAGAAAAAGGAGGTCTAAGACAGGGTGACCCCATTTCACCTTTGCTATTTGTGGTATGCATGGAGTACCTAACCAGAATCTTGAATAAAGTTGCTGATATGAGGAAGTTTGGTTATCACACGAAATGTAGGGGACTAAAACTGAATCACTTATGCTTTGCAGGTGATATATTGCTATTCTGTAAAGGCAATTATCAATCAGTAATGTTGATGTTAGAGGTCTGCAGTCTTTTGCAAATGCATCAGGTTTGAACACTAATGCAGGAAAGTCCAATATTTTTAGTGCTAACATGCCAAAACAAGAACGGGAAGATTTATGTGAGGCAACTGGATATCAGAAAGAGTCATTGCCATTTAGATACTTGGGGGGTTCCAATTTCAGCAAAGAAGTTATCAATCATGGATTGTGAAATCCTAATAGATAAGATGACTGCTAGAATAAAGGCATAGAGCTCGAGGAACTTGTCATATGCTGGTAGAGTTCAGCTATTCAATTTAGTTCTACTACATGTTCATACATACTGGTCATCAATATTTATCCTACCTAAGTCTGTTCTAAAGAAGCTGACTGCAATATGTAGAAACTTCTTGTGGGATGGGAGAGAACAGACTAATAAAGCTCCATTGATTACATGGGATATAATATGTAGACCAAAGCACAAAGGAGGACTAGGAATAATGGATTTCATGGTGGAAGTAAAGAAACAATTCAACACATGTTCTTCGAATGTCATTTTTCGAAGGAGTGCCTGAGAATTCTGCTGGAATGGCTAGGATTGGGGATAAATGAACCAGATATTGATGGCTTGTGGAGAAGACTAACAAGAAATATTAAAGGTAAAATGTGCAGAAAACTCATTATAGCAGTTGTGGCAGCGTTGGTGTACAAAATATGGCAGGTCAGAAATGATGCAATATGGAATAACAAAGTACCACGTCCAATGGTGATTTGTAAACAGATCCAACAAGAATGCAAAGTTAGATTGAATATGCAAAATATTAAGGAAAGAGGGGAGAGATAGAAGGAAATGGATAAAGGAATTGTTTAGCAAACAAAGATGGTTGGTTTGGAGATTAATAATATTTTTCTTTACACAAAAAAAAAAACAAAAAGGAGAATTTGCAGTCGTACCCTATATTTGTGCCACCTTTTAACATATATCCTATTTTTTTAAAATTATTGATTTGGTAGCTATCTCCCAAAAAATCCGTAATAATATGATAATTACACCGCTGACAAAAGATATAAAACAATCTTCTCCTCTCCTTTCAACAACTTTATAAAAAAATCAGAAACTTGTCTAGATTCATCTTCAGAATCACACTTGTATGAAGTTGTTTCATGTTGAAGCTAAAACTTCATGCTAATATAGCATGAAGTTGTTTCACATTGAAGCTAAAACTTGATGCTAATACATACTGAAGTTATTTATCCTGCAGTCTACAGTTTTATCATGAATTTTATCAGAAACTTCAGTCTAAACATGTCTGAAGTTATTTAGTTCATTTGCTAAAACTTCAGACTAAACATGCTTAAGTTATTTAGTTCATTTGCTAAAACTTCAGACTAAACATGCTTAAGTTATTTAGTTCATTTGCTGAAGTTGCTTAAGTTATTTAGTTCATTTGCTGAAGTTGCTTAAGTTATTTAGTTCATTTGCTAAAATTTCATACTAAACATGCTTAAGTTTTTTAGTTCATTTGCTAAAACTTTAGACTAAATATGCTTAAGTTTTTGTCTCGTAGTATGTAATTTTCTAATGAGTTTTTGCTAATGGATGTTGAAGTTATTTAGTTCATTTGCTAAAATTTCATACTAAACATGCTTAAGTTTTTTAGTTCATTTGCTAAAACTTTAGACTAAATATGCTTAAGTTTTTGTCTCGTAGTATGTAATTTTCTAATGAGTTTTTGCTAATGGATGTTGAAGTTATTTAGTTCATTTGCTAAAATTTCAGATAAAACATGCTGAAGTTATTTAGTTCATTTTCTAAAACTTCAGACTAAACATGCTGAAGTTTTTTAGTTCATTTGCTAAAACTTCAGACGAAACATGCTTAAGTTTTTGTCCTGCAATATGTAATTTTCTAAAGAGTTTTTGCTAATGCATGCTGAAGTTATTTAGTTCATTTGCTAAAACTTCATACCAAAACATGCTGAAGTTTTGTAACAGTCTACAGTTTTGTCTTGAGTTTTGTCCGAAACTTCAGTCTGAACAAGCTGAAGTTTTTTAGTTTATTTGCTAAAATTTCAGCCTAAATATGCTTAAATTTTTGTCCTGTAGTTTGTCAATAGTCTTTTATTAAAGAAGGGTAAAATCATCTTTTTAAAATGCTTTTAACAAAAAAGTGGGTACGAATGCAAACAGAAAAATAAAACGGGTATAAATTAAAAAGGGACAACCAAATAGGGCTTTAGGGCGCCCCATGCAATTTTTACTATGACTTACAGCTCCTTGTGGTTTATAATTATAAACACTATATACAATTCAACAAAAAGTTATATGCAGTGAATGTTGGGCCACTAAAGTTCAACATATTTATAAGATAAGTGTTTCAAAAATATGAAAGCTAAGATGGATGCCTAGTCACATAAAATTAGATAAGATTAAAAATGACCATATTTGCCAGAAGGTGTAAGTAGCACACATTGAGGATAAAATGAGATAAAATCGCTTGAGATGATTTAGTCATGTTCTGCATCGACCTACAGATACACCGGTCCATAGGTATAAAATTATGACAGAGCAATGTATTAAAAAGCATGAGATAGACCTAAAATCACATGTAAGCAAGTTGTCTCGAAAGACCTATAAATTCTTAGAATTAATGCAGATGTTGTTAAAGATAGGACACAATATAATGTAGATCAATCTTGATCCGGAGCCCACATTATTTTTCTTACATAGTGTATTTTATAATATCTGTGTATTTTATAAATAGATAAAAAGTAGTGCACGTGTACAACTAGAAAGACAATTTGTTTTCCTTATTCTTCATTAATATGAAATCGTCTCTCTTTTCTCTCTGAAATTAGGGTTTCGATTTCTCATTTTTTGCCCTAAATTACTTGCGATTTTGCATATTATCATGGTGTCAGAACTAGTGCTTGCATTTTCTTGAGGTATCCTTTGGGTAAAAAGGGCCACAAGCTACGTAACCTTTCTTCACACTTCATTATTATTTTATCATTATTAAAAGTCTGAAAGAAGCATTATCTCATAGTGGACTATTTTCAAATAAATATATTTACAAATGTACCACTTTATAATCTATATCACAGGCTACAAGTAGGAAGGGATTGAAAATTTATAAATGATGATGAATAAATAAGAAATGAAGCTAGAAGAATAGTAAATATAGAAGTTTTTAGATTCACTTAACGTATTTTTAATTGTTGGTTTTGAATCATGTTATATTTTCAGATTGTTTGTAGCATAAACTATATAATTATGATATTTTAATTTCATCTAAAAGTTATTCAATAATTATATGGTTCATTTAATTTAATTATACATAGTTTTTATTATTAGGTACACACATTAAAATATGACGATAATTATCATTTTGTTGAAACGTAATGAACAACACGCTCAAATAAATTAAATCTTACTTTAATATGATTCATATTTTTAATAATATCCGTGTATTGTGCGGGTACTAATACTAGTTTATTTGAATAAACAATATTATTTTTGATTTATTTCTAAAGTAATAGATTTATTTACCTTTATGACATTTTCCAAATTTAAATGTAATTTTTAAAATAACTACCAACGCACAAATTAGGATCAGTTACCTATTTTATCAAAAATTATTAGTACAAAAAATAAGGGCTTCAAACCTGTAATAATCCATAATTTTAACCAAGGACAAATTGATCATTTAGCTATAAAAAAAAGAAGGGATGAAGCAATTTAAAAGGCCAAAGTCCATCACAGGTATGGCGTGGGTTTGATAAGGGGTTGGAGAGGAGACTTGCCAGCCAACAAATAGAAAACAACTTAGAAAATTGGGGAAATATCTACAACTCTAATCCGTAAGGAAAGTGAGAACGAGAAATTTAACAGCAACTTGGAGTCAAAAACCCAAACTGCTGCTGGGATACGATGCTTGAAGAGGAGCAATACGCATCGGTTCTTTTTCTTGAGTAAAAGTACTCCGTTTGACATCAAAGAGTTATAACAAGAAACTACAAGAACTAACAACGTAAGTCTTCTAGAAGAATTTTGGTTTCATATTGTTTAACTCTTTAATTGGAATACTAGAATTGAGTTTGGTATTTAACTATGGTGGGTAACATTAACATAGATTTTCATGGTAAAATAAACTAGTTCATGAATAACCATGAATCTGGAATTTTAAAAAAAAAAGCTATTAAGAGTTAGTTTTGATGGCAATATAGGTATTCTGGCAGATGGTATTTTGAGTAACACTGAGACATGGGTAATAGAAATTGTGACTTGCTATCACCTAAACTTACTGAATTTCGTGGTTAGCATATGGTAACATAAACTTATATTGATTTATAAATTTCATACGAATTGAGCACTTGGATCGATTAGAAGTCATACAGATTGCTTGAGGTGTTTGGTGTTGCGACACGAGTACTGTGAATAGTAATCTTATCACAATTTGTGTTTTCATAACCTGCATGGTTTATATATGATTTTGAAAATAAATGTGTTACCGATGCTTTGAAATTTGCATGTGGGACAAGTCATTTACTTGAGATGGTACCGAACAATTTACTTGAGATGTTTACCGGTTAACCAAAATATTCTCATCGTTACTAGATATGTTTTACCGTTACTTGAGATGTAACAGTTATTTAAAATGTTCTCACTGTTACTAGACATGTTTTACTGTTACTCGAGACATGATTACCCGTTACCGAAATAAAATTACAAGTTTTGATAAGAAATAATATGCCCTTCATTATTTTGAAAATGCTTTTGTATGAGTATTTACTATTTACAAGATAAAGTATTAATGGGAGGAGACTTTGAAGAATCCCGTAGCTAATGGCGGGTTCGTTAGACCTGGTGCACCTTGTATTTACCGATTATCGAGTACAGTTATAGCTCTGGCTAGTGGGAAGGTATAATTAGCATACAGTTACAGTTTTCTCTCGAGTAGGGACCTACAATTATATTTGACTCCTTTTACGAAGGGGTCCACACAGTGATATACATTACATGATCTTTTTCTGGAAACCTCCCAAATAGAAAGATTTGCTATGACACAGCATTTACCGAGTTTATTACTGAATTGTTAAATTGATTTTGTTACAGGAAACACATGATGAGATTGATTATTATTACCGTTTTTTTTAAAAAAAAAAGGTATTTTATTTTGTGATTATTATACAAGCATGTTTTCTGACTTGTCCCCTATTAAAAACGGTTATCGTTAAGTATTACTACTTACTGAGCTAGCGACTCACTCCCCGCTATTATTTTTACAGAGACAGCAGTAGACACAGGCGAGGATTCCGTTAATTAGAGTACACGAGTTGACAGTTCCTGGTGAGCCCCGTATTTATTCGCGTGGGCAAAGATTGTTATTTATTTGTTATAGTCTCTTTCTTGAAACCCTTAGAGTCGCTCCATAGTCATTTTTACGAGTGTCATAAGCATTCTTTTATTGATATAGAATTGGTGACTCATATTAGACTTTTCTATCGTATAATTGGAGATGAAGTTAGTATTATTGTGTTGGAAATATTTCGTGAATGAGGATTATAACTTGTTTGGTCGATATAGGTTGGTTGTGTTGTTGATTTCTAAGACAGGTTTATTTTTGGATAGTCCTAAAACAGGGAAAACTCTGTCCGATTTTCTGTAAAATACCGATAATACTTGGGGGCACTTGCTCCCAGGCGCCGGTTATAATCCTAAATTGGATCGTGACAAAACCCTCTCTTCCAACTCTCTCAAATTATATATAGTTTATGCACATAAAATTTTCTTAAAATACATATTTGTTGTAATACACATATTACACAGTGTGTGTGATGAATAAATTGAAATATAGACTTACATACATTAAATATATCATTATTATAAATGGAATATTTTATTTATGTACTTGTATTCAATGAATACATGGTAAAACGTTATGTACTACATATATTCATATACTATTATATTATACGAATAATATTTTAATATATATACTTCATAAATAATTACTGTATTTAATATGCATACCACCACTTATATATGGCAAAATCATTCTAAATCTTTAGAAGGGAGATAAAAGATAAGGAAACTTATTTGTGAGTTAAGCGTGAATCAGGAATGCAAATATATATCAAATCCTTAGTATCAGTACCGTATCGATACTCTATAAAATATCCAATTGTCCAAACGAGCCAAAGTATTACAAGTTGTAGGGAATTTTCATATAGGAGTGAAGCTAGCGTAAATGTACTTCCCTTAATGCTTGTTCTATAACTTACAGCTCTTCGTGGTTTAGAATTATAAAACTATATACAGTTCAACAAAAAGTTACGTGGTAGTGAATATTGGGCCGCTAAAGTTCAACATATTCATAAGATGAGTGTTACGAAATACAAAAGCTAAGATGAATGCATAGTCACATAAAATTAGATAAGATTAAAATGATCATATTTGCCAGAAGGTATAAGTGGCACACATTGAGGATAAAATGAGATAAGATCGCTTGAGATGATTGGTCGTGTCTTGCATCGACCAACAAATGCACCTGTCCATAAGTGTAAAACTATGATAGAGCAAGGTATTAAAAAAAGGATAGGATAGACCTAAAATCACATGAAAGGAAGTTGTCTCAAAAGACCTACAAATCCTTGGAATCAAAGCAGACTTAGCTAATAGGACACAATGGAAATCTATATAGATGATACCTATTAGTTGGGAATAGGTTTTAGATCGGGTAAAAAACTTCTACTACTACTACTACTACTACTATTACTACTACTACTACTACTACTACTACTACTATTACCACCACTACTACCACTACTATCACTACGACTACCACTACCACCACTACTGCGACTACCACTGCCACTACGACTAGCACTAGCACTACCACTACCACTACTACTACGACTACCACTACTACTACGACTACTACTACGTCCACTACCTACTACGACTACTATTACTACCACTACTACTACTACCACTACTACCACTACTACCTACTACTACTACTACTACTACTACTACTATTACTACTATTATTATTATTATTATTATTATTATTATTATTATTATTATTATTATTATTATTATTATTTTATTTTAATAATGATAATAATATGAATTGAGTTAAATGAAAGGAATGGGGATTTATATAGCTCGACCATAACTTGTTTAGGATGAAACATAATTATTATTATTGTTATTGATATACCTCAACAACAAAAAAAACTTTTTAATCTATAATGAGTGAACGGATTTGTTGCTTTTGTGATAGGAGCATTAGTTTATTGTTTTTCTATTTTTTGTACTTCTAATTAAAACTCCAATTGCATTTATGTGTCTTGGATTGTTAGTGCTAATCCCAATATAATCTTACAGTCCTGTCACTTCTTTTGGTAAGGGCCGGGGGAGGTCTATTTTAGCTATAATCTTATTTTTCGCTCTGAAGTGTGATTTTCATTATTTTACACTAAATTAATAAATATACTATTAAATATTTGCAGATATTTTTTTTTCCTTCCTACTACAATAATCATATCATGCATATGCTTGATCGACATTGTTACTATATCTATATATCCACACGTTCATTCCGATCGAGCGCCCCAATAAAGTTCAAATGGATGTGGAATCCTCTGACCAATGTATCCATTTCATCTCAAAATTTACTTTATTATTAAATAGAATAGACACTACTAGATATTTGTCCCGTTAATTTCCCGGAGTATCCCAATGGAATAATATCAACAATTTTCTTTATGCTTCTGCAACTTTATTCTCAAGTCTTGATTTTACATGTCTATACCAATCTTAGTAAGTGGAGGAATTAGATAATTAAAGCCACGCCTCCAAAAAATTTGTTTGTTAAAACTTTCTAAACCCACAGTGTCAATCGAGATCTTTTGGGTGAGGGCAGGGAGATTTGAAACCCAACAACAAACAACACCTTAATTCGTAACATTGTGAGTTTTTGCCTCTTTTATACTATACTGCTTTAGACTTCTACTTATGGGTTAACAATGCATATTATTATTCCATCAAAAGATATATAGACCAATGAGGTTTGATTAGACTTGCCTATGACTCAACTTGCTCCACAACGATCCAAATTTTGATAGATGGAATTAGATGCATTTAACTTATATATACTTATGATATAAACAATTTTAATAAATATATCAAATTACTTAAAAATAATTACTATATAAGTAATTATTCATAATTAGTGAAACTAGTTCAAAAATAAGTGGACAAATTGCTATGATGTTGTAAGTTATAATGATAGCATAATAGTTATATATCATCAATTTGTATAAAATTAAATTCAACTAAAATTGACATTATCAACAACTAAGTAAATACACCGACAAGGCAACTAATGAATGCGGAGTAGTAGCACATGAGAAACTTGACAAAATTATGAAGCATTAGGGGACCAAATCGATTTAGGCAACTCATTGGGATGCAATAACACAATTTACATACGGTAGTTGAAAGTGAAAAGGCAAAGGGGGCACGTGGCGTAATCATAGACCTCACAAGTTGTCTTGCATTAAAGAAAATCCAAAAATGATGAAAATGAAGAAGCATCATTGAATAGACAAGTACACACTATTAAATTCGATGGGCCAGGTCTAAGATATGTAATTGGTGGTTGAGAATTGGAATTTTCATGGCCACCCTCTTTAATCTTGTGGCTGTGGAGCATTCCCTTAGTTGACGCCACCATATATTTTTCTTTAATATAGATCATGGTGCTATTTCTGGTCTGATATTCAAAAACCCAGCCAATCAGAAAAATAATCCTAGTCTCACTTACCATCTTCCATTATCATTATCAATTAGCTGTAGTAGATTACTATCTTTTCAAACGTACAGCAGTTTCCTTTTAAGAAATATTGTTTGTTATAATTAAAATATACTGTAGTTTGTGAGTTGCTTCCTGCAGTTGTCTCAGATTACTATTCAACTTAACGTAAAGATCCAGACTTTGGATGTTATTTGTCGAAGTAGAACTTAATTGATATCGAAAATTGAAGCGTTCTTGATTTGAAACTAATAAGTAATGTTGTTAGCTTTATATTTGTCTACTTATTATTGGGGGAGTCGTAGAAATGAATAATGCGGACACTTTGTGACGTTTGTGAAAGTGCTGCTGCCATTCTTTTCTGCGCTGCAGATGAGGCTGCCCTTTGCCGTGCCTGTGACGAAAAGGTCTAATTTTACTGTCAATCTAATACTATTTGTCCCTTTGTACTTGCATGAAACTTCTATTTCTTCTTTTGGGGTTTTAGAGGTAATTGGTTTGTTGAACTCACTGGAATGTGTTCAGTTTAGCTTTCTATTTGTTGATGGGGTGGAATAATTGTTCAAGTCAACTTAATTATATCTGCAAAAGGGAACGCAAGCACGACTATATTTTGTATAGTGAGTTGCAGATATCTTGAGTCGAGCATAGTTATAAAATCTACAAGATAGGATGATGCTAATTATATTTTAGGACTGAAATTAGCTATCAAAACGTACATCATTGCCTGAAATTATCTATGTGTGTGTCTGTGTGTGTTTTTTCTTTTGATAAGTGCGATTATGTGTGTTTTTATGTTACTTAAGGAGGCTGCAATCAGTTGCTCCTTCATCAACTTCTTTAAGGTCAAAAATCATGCTGACCTGTTATGCAAATTGGCATTTCTTCAGTATTTACAACCAGGGAATCATTGCTTCTTCTCTCTGGTTTTGGTTTCTTCTGTTCATCCACTTTAAGTTAGTAGGAGTAATAAATTTTTCTTAATCCTTAAGGGTTATTTTATATATCTATATGTTGGAATTTGTTTTGTAATTGTGATCTTCCTAGCTGTTGAATTATGCGATCTTCTTATCTAAAAGTTTATGCAATACTAGAGGGACACTTCTATTTATATCTTTAACATGTCTGTTCACATGTGAGCCTAATTCTTTTTTATGGGTCAAGCATGTGGGAAAAATCTATTGATAATGAATTGTGGTGAGACATGAACCCCCATCTCTTGCCTACTTCTATACCATGTTGAATTATGTGGTCACCGTATCTAAAAGTTTAAGATGTTAGAGAGGATGCACACTTCTATGTTCTTAATTATATCTTAAACACTACTCACTTCTGACCCAGAGGCATGAAAGAGCAAATCTACTGGAGTCAACCTTTAACCAATTAATATTTGACAATGCCACTAAGGGACTTTTGATGTTTTCATTCTTGCGGACCCCTCTAATCATATTCAAATTTGATCAATAGGTTCATATGTGTAATAAGCTTGCTAGTAGGCATGTGAGGGTTGGACTAGCTAAGCCCAATGATGTTCCTCGTTGCGACATATGTGAAAATGCACCTGGTTAGTGGAGTTTAATCCCTTTTATTCTTCAGTTAGTTTTTCTTCTGATTCCTTTGATGTTATTTTGTAGTTTTATCCTACTCAATAGGTCTTGCAAAACGAACTAACTATTGCTAATTTCCTCTGCATTACACATGAAGCATTCTTTTACTGTGAGGTTGATGGAAGTTCTCTTTGTCTGCAATGCGACATGATCGTACACGTTGGAGGTAAACGAACACACAGTAGATATCTCCTGTTGAGGCAGAAAGTTGAGGTTGGTAACTCTGTCGTATTTCAGTTACATCCTACTCTTGATATGTGCAGTGTGATATGCTTTGGTTCATCTTTCTATACTTTCTCATGTAGTTTCCAGGAGACAAACCTGGGCCTACGGAGGAGTTAGCCAGGAAGACATTAGATCCTGGTGAAAACAAGAGGGAATATAGTCACTCACCAAAGCCAATGGTTGAAGACAATCAACAAAATCGCAGATTCTCTCCTGTCCCAGTTTCAGATGGGAGTGCAGATGATCATGCCAAGAAGGACAAAATGATCGACTTAAATGTGAAGCCAAATCGTTATCATGGTTAGGCATCTAATCAGGTTAGGCACTTTACATCTCTCAGAATCAATCCCAGAATAACTTTGCCATATTTCATCAATAATATCTACTTAATAAAGTGAGTTTTCACATTCTCTCTTTTCATTTTAATGCTAAAAAAATTTCATGTGAACTCAACTGTTTGAAAACATATAAAAGATGATGTTTTAAGAGGGAGAATTGACTGGTCTGTAGAAGATAGATAATTTGTCAAGAATTATGAAGTACCTCAAAATAGAAAAAGAAAAAGAAAAACCAAAACAAATTATTACCACTTTGATTTCCAATCAGAATTTGATCAGCATAAGTGCTTATAGAGATGTCACCTTTCATTCTTTAATTTATGGAGAGTAAATATGGTGAACCAGATTACTTTGGAAATGTAAATCCTTTCTGAACTACTGGAGGTTGCTGAAATATCTGCTGAAGAGATGTGCCTTTTCAATTTTCATGTTTTCTTGCTAATGTCTCTCTTATAAGTCTGCTGGAATTCCATTCAAAAATCGTTTTGTATAGAAGGTCCCTGCTTTAAGTTGCAGTCGTCACTGTCCAGTCTTTGTTAACCAACTAGGATGATTCTATTCTTAGCCCAAAAAAGAAGAAGAAAATAACTTGACAGATTGTTCATGAAAAGGTTGATCCCATAGTATTTCCCTATTGTAAGGTTTTGAGCATTACTTTATGAACTGTTTCTTTTTTACCTCAACAGGATTAATACATCTTGAGGGGCTGTTCCAGCCACGTCGCTTTTTATGAGGAAATGTAAGGGAGGCGTCACACTTATAACTCATATGGCGTGCATGTTCCACCTTTGCGCATGTGATAGAAGGTTCACCAATGTTATTGACGAAGCTCATTAGCCCAGATTAGTAGTCCAACAACATTCAGGCAGCTAGTTTATGATAAACTGCATGTTCTGATTGCTTTAAGGTCCTGCTGAAAAACATCGCTAGTAGTTCTTTGCTAGACTCGTAATCAATTTTTGCTTTAGGATTTAGTTTAGCTGTTAAGACAGCATCATAGAAACTGCCTGCTGAAAGTTGTTGATGTAATTGAAGTTTAAGGTGATTTTGGCAGAAGTTGCTGTTATCTTAAAATCTAAGGTCACTTTTGAGTGTAGAGATTATTTTCATTGTTTCTTGCAGTATTAAGGTTCATTAAAATTTTCTTCCCGTAAGGACCTAGCCTGCAGGAAATGCTGCAGTTTCTAATTCATCATCTCTCCTAGTTTGGAACAACTGGGAACCAGCACTTGCTGATGCATAGTCTCTCTTCTCTTTCATTGTATTGAGTCTATACTCTAATTATTGTTTTATTTATGTTCTAATTCCTGTGTACTAGCAAACACATTTGGCCTTCAACAAAATCTTAGCTAAGGGGAAGTAATGGACTTGGCAGAATTTATTTATCAAAAAGAAAAGAACTTGAATACGTCTCATCCCCGTAGGATGGTTTCTGTTCTAGCAAAAGGAATGGCAACAGAAACAACCAACGCTTGCTGCTTCGCCAGTAAGGAAGAAGAGGTGACTCCTACATTCGAAAAGAAACCAAATAATTAAAAGAATTACAGAAGCAGCTATGGAGAAAGTTTCCTGCTGAAATGCAGGATTCCATAAGCAACAGTGAGCAAGAAGGAAGGAAAAAGAAATGAAGAAACAGAGTGAAACATGAGTTCAACAGTGTAATATTCGACGAATGGGGAGCCTAGTAATAAGAAGAACTATTGATTTTTGGATTGTGTTACAACTTACAACTAGGTGAATCATATGAAGCTAACTCTTTGAGGGAATGGTAGTGGAAGGTGATAGTTGGTGTGATGGCATATCTAGCTATGGCCTCAGCTGCAGTTCTGTAAGGCACAAAACTGTCGAGCAGATAGATTTGTGGACGTCCGCGTGCCAGTATTCAGGTAGGAGTTCAATATGAAAGATTATGAAACAGTTATAAGCTTGTACAAACGGAAGATGTACTTTTTGTCCTTCAACTATCACTAAATTATGTATCTCGTTGTCACAACAGATATGTAATGCTCATCCATGAATCATCCCATCTTTTTTGTAGCAGTTATCTTGCCAATGTCCTTATGTTTCATTTCTATAGCATTCAGTTTTTCTATTGGTGTACCTGGTCAACTATGCCTACGATCATGCTTTTGGATGTATCTTAGAAGTAGATTTTTTTTTTCTTCCTTTCCACTATATTTGATTTTGATGGCATTTGCCGCATGTTGCACCTTAACATTGTGAAGAAGTTGAAGCCATAACATAAAATTGAGCAAGCTTGATGAGTGCTATAAATTGCTAAAAGCACAACGGTATATGAACAAGCATTTATGCAGTTCGACTTAGCTACATTACATGCTTCATATTCAAACATCTATAGACTTTGGTAGACACTTAGTAAACGTATCCCTTCACGAACATTCCCTTCTTGGCCTCCTCGGACTCACCCTCACCAGTGTATTTCCCGAGCTGGGCAAGAGAATTGGCCTTTGCTCTAATAAGCAGAGCTTCCTGAGCTGCCTGCACATTTTCTGGTCGTCCACCCCATGTCTTGAGGCATGTGTTCTGAAGGGCTCTTGCATATGAGAATGACACGTGCCATGGGTTGGGACCTTGGTTCATGGCGTTCAAGTTAAGAGTAGCCTCAACTTCAGATTGTCCACCAGACAAAAACTGTGTAGAACAAACCATGTAAAAGATTAACAGTCAAGTTCTTGGAATTATGGAAAAATGTTTGATATAATAGAAATGTAGATAATACTTGCCATGATTCCTGGGACGGCAGGAGGGATTCTTTGGCGGAGGAGTTTGAGGGTGTAGTCGGCAACTTGTTGTGGGGTGGCCCTCTCCTTGCACTCTGCTCCAGGGGTGACCATGCTGGGCTTCAAGAGGATACCTTCAAACATGACATTGTTCTCGGCGAGGTAGAAGAACACTTCAGCCCACACCTTCTTGGCGACTTCAAAGGTCGTGTCAATGTTGTGTTCACCATCAAGTAAGATCTCTGGCTCGACGATGGGTACCAACCCATTGTCCTACAAGAATGAGCAAGAAACTTTAACCATTGTTCGTCAAGCTTATAATATACTGATATTTTAAAAGGAATTTACACTATTAGCGCAATTTCACCTATTATAGCTACCTTATTTTCATGTTAGCATATCAGACTTACTATAAAGAGTACCTACTATTGTAGATTAATTTAACCTGATTTTGTAAAGAATCTATACAGTTTCAATGCACAAAACTTTAACAGAAACTCTTTAAGATTTGTGTGTTTCAGCTTCCTCTATATATACATGCCAACTTTACCTGAGAAATGGCAGCATAGCGAGCAAGACCCCAGGCTGCCTCCTTAACTGCAAGTGCAGAAGGACCATTGGGAATGCTCACAACAGTACGCCTGTAAGATTCACAATTAAGAAGATAGGTTGTTCTTCAAGTTAAGCAATATTGTTTATGTAACATGCAAAAGAAAGATACTCTACCATTTGGCGAAACGGGCACCTTGTTGGTAGTAAGCAGCCGAGCGGGAGGCAAGGCCATCTAGACCTTGACACCATGATTCATCGTTTGAGCCAGCCAAGGGAACAAGACCCTGTGAATTTTCAAACTCTTAGCAATTCATGACCAAAGAAACTTAGACCTTTTAAATCACTGAGGTTAGAGCTTTACCTTGTCAACCTTAATACCGGGAACAATGTTCTGCTCAACAAGCACATCAACCATTTTCTTTCCTTCGACGGTTGATTGATAAAGTGTCTCCTCAAAGAGGATGGCACCTGAGATGTAGTCCCCAAGTCCAGGAACTGAAACAAGTAGAGTCCTGTATGCCTGGCGGTTAGCCTCAGTGTTCTCCAATCCGATTGAAGCTAAACGCTTCCCGCAGGTAGCATTGGACTCATCCATCGCCAAAATTCCACGACCAGGGGATGCAATAGTTTTCTACACTCAATTCATTCGTTTAAATCAGCCACGCATGCTTCATTCATCTCAACAAAGTTNATATATATATCACTTTATCTTGGTAGTAAGTTTGAGCAAAAACACCACTATAAGAAAAATGATCAAGAACTGGTAATAATGCATTCTTTCATCTTTTTATCAAGAAAAAGAAAGAAACACTAGCAAAACACTCCTCTATGGAAATGGCAAATAGACAGAGGCAGATGGACTGTATTGTTTATGGATTCAGCTACACTTAATATTTCAACACTGAATATAACTATACAAACCACTAAAATTTCTGCAATATCAAATTTTGGACCTATAATTTTAGAAGTACAAAGAGTTCAATGCTAAGTAACCGTAAGGTTGCACTTATCAAGTTTAAATCATACAACTGCCTCTGCAAATAAGGCCCAAGTAAACAAGCTCATCTTTCGTAGTTGCATATTACCATGCTTTAAAATTTCTTACTCCAGAGGAGTAAGAGATAGCTAAGCAGTTAAAAGAACATAAGACAGCTAACGTGCATGTTGTGACTAAGTAAAACAACTACTACATGAAATAGGGAGAGAATGAAAGTGTGTCATTCGCGATACATAAAATAATTCAGTCAGAGCTGCTCCTGAAGTCAAAGCAAATGAAGTAGTAGCTAGATAGGAAAATGTTATAAAAGAGCATGTACCGCGGTTTTAACGAGCTCATCGGCATAGGAGCTAGCACGGACAGTAAGAACAGAGGGAGCAGCTGGCTGACAGCGGACGACGGAGACTGATGGCTGGCGGAGGGACTGCCCTTTTACAAACTCAATCTTGTCAAGGACTGGAGATGTCTTAAGGAGAGATGCTGATGCCATTTTTTCTTTCTTTCCTTATCTTTTCTCTCCTCAGTTACGAGTTTTTCTTGTGTGTTCAATACAAGCAGAGAGCCCCATGCTCACTTCATTTATAGTTCCAGGAAGATAATATCATTTGAGGCCAGTATACTTTCACCAATCAGCACGTGCCAGTTGGCTTGATAACTTGCTGACCTGGCTCTACTTATGTAGGAATTTGCAAACTGATGGTTGGTTTTCATTGGTTTACTCCTTTTTCTTATTTTCCTTATCATTGTTTTTATCATTTAAAATTGCAGTGTGACAAAATTAGCTCCTTTTTGGAACTTTGTAAAACCAGAAATATGGTTGCACTAGAGGACTTCCAATTTTTGCCAGTTAACCAATCACTGGACCCATTAGATTTGAGGCTCTGGTTGTTCTAAAACACAAGAATACAAAAATTCCTAATGAAGCCTAATTTGGGTTCTGTTGAGTGGCCACAATGCAATGGCGTCAAGATTTAAAAGAATCTCGACTTTTAATTAAAAGATCCACCACCCTGTTACAGCTTCATTACTCGAAATAATTTTTCATTTTAGCAAAAATAAGCTATTTTTTTCCATACAAACTATTCCAAAGAATCTCTTTTGTAAAATAGTTGGTTAGTAGCAAGTTCCTCTAGCTTTATTTCCTGCGAAGGAGGCAGGCAACAACCTTTCAGAGAGTTGATAAATGAGATTGATAGTTCCTATAAATTGACTGCATTTGAACGATCAAGGGAAGCGTATACTTCCTTATCAACCTGGGTCCTTACAAAAATCTCCACATAAATTGGCATTAAATTCACATATTTTTTTTCTCTTTTGCTTGTAACATCTGAAGCTTGTTTGTTGACAAGATGACCATTACATTCGGGTTCATCATGCCCAAAAGATCTGCCAATATATTCCACCTCTAATCAAGGAAAAGTGAGCACATTATGAATCTCATAGCACGTCAATAGGAGCCCAAGAGTAGATGCCAAATTCAGTGATGGCCCATAAATTCAAGAAAACAATGTCATGACTCAACTGATTGGAACACATCTGTCCTTTTCTTTGTTTCTTCCCTATTAACTGTTTGTTATTGCTGAGATGGTGTACGTTCCTGTATCCCTATCACATCCCATTAGGAATTCAAGCAATCAAATGCTAATGAGGAGGGAGTTGCAATTCTTGTACTGCTAACAACATTAAATATAAGCATCAATGGTGTGTATATCATGCATGTGAGGCCTATATAATGGGAGTGGACAAGGAGACCTTACACTTTGCACCTGTCTTAAAATGACTAAGAAAGAAGAAGCTTTCCTTCTACAACCCGTAATCCTTACCTGAGAAACTCATAGCAATACTAGGTGTGGTAAACATCATGAACATTTCCCTTAGGAACTCAGCTACTGTCCTAA